CCGAACAGTGTTATCGAGGAGACTGTATATTTTCACCTTATATATATTTCTCCACTTGTTATTATATAAAAATATTTCCCGATCTACTTATGCAACGTTTACGTAATGTTGTTACTCGCGCAGAACGATCGACACAACACGCTTGATAATTTAACAATACCACATAAGAGGATATGCAATTCGTAAGAAACGCTATCCGATTTTTTTTTTATTCTCGTTGTTTTATCTTGCTTCTCGTTTTTGTCCTTTTATCCGACTTCTTTTATATCACGCATATAAATTTCGCATCTCTCATCCTTTCCTCGATATCCGAAGACGCAGATCCGCGATATTGTTCCCGATCACTTGGTCGACCGATCGAGCGGAAATGAAAACGAATCACGAAGACGCTTTCGTCTCTTTCAGTCCCGGATCGCTTCATTCGCTTTATGCAAAGTATCTCGATGATGTCGCGATTCTCGATAAACCTGTATTACTCTCAATGTTAAGAAATTCCACGCGTTCCTCGTGACTTTGTAAGAATTTTAATACCCCGTCGCAGCTGCCTGCTATATAAATTCTAGCAATCGGTTTCCTGATTTGCCGCGATACAGCGTAATTTTAGTTATAATAGCGATCTCTGAAAATATCGTGATTAATAATCCGCAGCTCGTTCACGATTTCATTATTTTTACTACGTCTTTAAACGTTAAGTGTAGAAATTCTTGTATGAATTTTTAATCGATGAAAGATATCGAAGAGAATTTAGAGGCAAGAATAAAATCGTGATTTGTATAGAATCCACTTTCAGTCTTAGACGAGTTAATTTGTTTCCTTCTAAACACTAATCTCTTCAATTGTCCAATTTAAGCAAGAAACTTAAATCAGATAAGAAATATCTTGTTTAGCGTTATCCTACTTTGACCAGCTTAAAAAGTGAAGGTTATTTTAGGCTTGGATTGCGGAAAAAGTAAAAATTTGATTAAAGTGTTTGATTTTTTTTCACAATTTTTGGCATACAAATTTTTATTATAATTTTTAAACAAAAAATGTTACCAACAAAATCGTCGGTCAGGCGAAAACTATTATTTCTCTGAATGTATGTCACAAATTTCAAGACAATCCGTCAATTGCAGCCTGAGATATCATGTACACCGTCTGAAAAAACATAGTTTCAAGAAAAATGTGTTAAAGTTTGACTTGTTACTTCAGTCATATCATGAATTTTGTTCATCTTATCGCTTGTCACCCTCCATACAATGGACCTTTCTCTTTTAGCATCTTCGAAGGCTATTTTAGTCCTAATTTAATCCTTTGTCGCTCTATTCGTCACTCTTTTTATTTAAATGGATTGAATGTTTACTTGTACGTAGGTACACGAGTTTGCTTCAAACTCGAAGAATATTTTGAATATCCGCTTTTTTTGCACATTTATTTTAAGACTTCAAATCATTTTTGGAAGCAAAACAAATTTTAAAGTAAGATAGCCCTTTAATATTTTACAAAGCATTGTATACTGTTTAATAATATTCCTTTATATAATTTATGCACAAATAACTAGACAGTGTAATTGACATAAAAGTACAATATTTCTCAATATATATGGATTTTTTGCTAAAAGCCTACATTTTATGTCTTTCCAATAATGTCATTTGAGTTAACTAACTCGTTTTCGAAGAATTTCTGATTTCGGGCCTTGTAAAGAATTAAATGCAGGATGCAGGCGCGAACTTTTCGAGCATAGCATGAACTATTCAGTATCCTGTCTGGATATGGGAGGAACCCAGCGTGTACGTCGTGTATCTATAGTACGGTTCAAGGTCGGACGGTGTACGTTGAAGACGATAGCCGTAAGATACGCGTGTAGGTGCATTAACCCTTCGAAGAGTCCGCCGCCACGCGATGCGGCTGTAGTTTCATACAGAATAGTATAACACTGGCGCTTGGAAGAGAGCAACCCGGACTAACGAATGTTTCTATAGCTGAGAGGCAAAGTAAAGTAAATCTAATATCCTATCGATTTCATTATATTTGTCATGAGAAAAAGATTTTGCGAATCGGTAATTTTCGAAGAAAGTTCTATCGCAATAGAAAATACTTGCATCTAAATGGACAAGTACATAGACGCATAAGTTTTAGCATGGCTAAATGCATCCTTGTTTAACTCGACTTGAGTATATGCGAGTGCATTAAATCTGGATCTTTATGAGTCTTCTTTGAAAAACTGGGTTTTCGGACTAATCGTCCCGTTTCTCCAATACAGGCTTATTTGGCCCGGTACTTCGAGATAATCCGGCGAGAAATAATTCTCCTGGTACCATGAGCGAACTAATAATACCGTTACTATTAACGAGTCAAGAAAATTTGGGATATAAATGAGCGAAATGACTAAGATTCTTCGACTGTGAAATTTAGCTTTTATTTAGTCTGAAAATAATATCTAAAATACTAACAAAATTACGAACGACAAATGTTTACATCACTGTGACATAATTCCCATTTGTTTCTTTTATATTTGTAAAGAGATCCCTCCCTAAAGAGTCTCTAATTCAATAATTTTGTGTAAATTCATGTAAATTGCAGCAAATCTTCCTTCAGGATTCAAATATTTTCGTAAGTCTTAAATGCTGCGCTGTAATGCCCAACATAAAACGAGCGCATTGGGAGTTGTAAAAAGAGAATTCCGGTTTCCGGTTTTACAATCTTTTTATATAGAACTGGATATAAAGCTATTGAATTCTGATATTAAATGAAGAAATTCTCTTTTCCGCGAGCTTTTGTTAAGAGAGAATATCCATTACTCACTCATAGTTGCTTATATTTTTCTCCACGAACGAGCAGTTTAGGCCATGGTGCCGAAGAGGAAGTCCGGCCGCACCTTGCTAGGGAATTCACCTGACTGCCGCGTGTATTATAAACGCAACGCTCGCACGAGAGCGAGCGAGCGTTCCCTTAGACCCTTCGAGGATCGTAGGCGTAGTCGGAATGCACGAAGCCCCGGTCGAAATCGTCTTACGAGTCGATCATATCCCAAGAGACGCGAGAGCGCGAGAGCAAGGAGGAAAACGGAAGTCCGATTTTGCACTTCGGGTCGGCGGACCTTGCGAGCGCGCGGACGTGGAAGACTGCTTCGGCTTCTCCTGACCGTTAGCTCGACCGTCGCATCGCGGTCTTAAAGTCGACTGCAAGAACCAAGCGGTACGGCCGCGTCCGTCCTCGGCCCCCGTAGAAATCCTGTCTCGTGCCAACGCCGCCGCAACCGGTGGTAGGGCGGTCGAGTCTTCGGCGGTAGGCTTCCCCGTAGGCCCCGATGGGATTATAAGCGTCTTGACGAGGTTTGCCGCCGGTGGAAAAACCTTGTCGAGAGGGCGGAGTTGACCCTTGACGGCGGTCCTGCCGTCCAGGGTCCAGGTCCGGTATCGGGTATATCCTTCGGTCCGACGATGCTTAAATCATTCTGTACTTATATCCATGTCGAAGAATATATTCCGTAAATAAAATTATAATATAACATGATTAATTTGCAGCATACTCTGTACTATTACAAAAATATGTGTAAAAAGATTTAATAAGAAAAAGGGAGTGTTTAACTGAAAACTCGTAATTTAAACATCTTCAATTATAATTGTTTACCAACGCTGTTTCATCAATAACTTCAATTTTTGTTTCAAGAAAATATAACTTTAATCTTTATGCAGTTTTGTGTTTATGTAATATTTCGTTCCGATTGTATTCGATAAATGAAAGAGAAGAAATGATTATACAAATTATCATTTTAAATAAATACGGTTTTAAAATTTTCAAGTTTTTTTCCTTCCTTTCGTAGAATGACATTTAATCCTTCGAAGCAAGGGGTACTTGAGATTTTTCATTATTGCGATACACAAGTGTCAAATTGTTCAAATCTAACCGAGCGTGTAAATGCGTCTCCCCGTGTTTTCTTTTAGGCAATAAAACGAAGGGGACGAGCACTCTTCTCTTGTCGCTCACCTGTTGCTTCCTCCTGGCTATCGTGTCGTCAAGCCAGCCTATACGCGACAAGATTTTGTAAGCGCATTGCGTATGTTCCGATGGCCGATGCAATTGTGTCTTTAGCTTCGCATGCGCTGCTATTTGCGCCGCATGCTGTTTTTCTATCGCGAGATTTGATGTAATCAACACGTTCGACTGAATCTTTATTTTTTTAAAAGAAATTATTTAGATTCTTTGATTCGGTTCATAAACGAGTGTGACCTGTAAAAACGATAAGGATAATCGAAAGGAATTTGTAGAAATTGGATACCTAATCTTCGAAAAAAAGAATTTAAGAAATTATTGGCTCTTTATTTTTAATTTATTGCCGTCATGTCGCGATTTAAGTGCCGATCACAGAATATAAACTTTAATTAAAATTTTTTTTAATAAACAAATCTTAAAAATAAAAGTGAACTCACACACAATTGTAAGGCCGTAGGATTAATTACAATTTTATCATTTTATTAACGCACGCCGCGGGAATCAATTTTAATGATTCTAATAACATCAAGTCGATAGATGGAATAAGCATATAGTTAAATGTTTATCACCGGTAATAGGGAACGTGAATATGCAGTACAACTCGTCGATCGCAGAAATACGGAATACCGTTACGCGTTTGCATGTTAAAATGTTGAAATTATACTTGCGGGAGGCAAGTGATTACTGAATCGACGATCGGCACCACAAACCTGCCCGTTTGACTTCGGCGTTCAACACATCTCTCCGTCTCACGCGACCACGGCGATCCTTTGTCCTGCATTTGTAGATAGGCGCCCCCGATATCGATAAATTTACGCGTGTAAAACACTCTCGTGTACATCAAGTTTATAATTATAGTCTTCATGTCGATGGCGTTTAGAAAGTTGATCTTTGCCGGAAAATGTAGACGCGTGGGATCGTGCGATAGGTGCTCCAAAATGAAAGACAATGAAATGAAAGACTCTCTCTCCGTAGACAATCTCGTTATTTCACGATATACAATCGGTTTTCATATCTCATTTCAGAGTCGGGCCCGGCTTTCCAGATTCCGTTCGCACGTGCTTGCTGCATCAAAAGTTACAGGTGACGCGAATTGCCAAATATTTTATGTAACGCTTATGTAACTTTTATATGTACTTCCCTTGGGTAAAAATCCCATTGGCTTTGTTCTTTATTACGTTTTGTGCGCGCAGATGATGAATTGCTGCGTAACGAGAAAAAAGGCGAGGGAGGAGAACGCGCACAGGTCTCAGAGCACGGAGATGGACGATGTGGAGGAGACAGGTAGCCATTAGCGATTTAATTATGCTTTACACAATGCGGTCGGCGGCATAAATTTGAAAATTCCCGGTTTGGCTGTCGCAGAGTCCGAGGAGGATGAGGAATTCTTTGAGTGCACGAGCGAGGAGCTGGCGAGCGAGGAGGTTTCGTCAACGAAGCCGCAATTGAAGGCGAAGCACCTGCTGTGGAACAAACCCGCGGGAAGATTGGCCAAACACCCTTCGCTCAGGTTGATTTTTCTTCACGAGATAGCGACCGCAAATTGGCTGAGATTTGCGTCAATTGCTTAAAACCTAGAATTACTTACATATTATCAAAGAGACATATTTCCTAGATTTATAAAATAGAAATTTTTCAACTTTACGAGTTGAAGACAGAAAATAGTAATATCAAAATACATGAAATTTTTCTATTGACTAATATACTAACTGCTAGTATAAAAAATATCGCATAAACTACGTTCAATAGTCGCTAGCATTCCCGTCTTTTCAATAACTGAATATTAAATATTGATAAAGTAAGCTCTTAACAAGTGCACGATTTGTAACTTAATGAGATGGGAATTGATGATGCGTAGGCTGATTCAAACTGGAGACCCTCTTTATCTACCAATCACGCAGGATCCCGTACCGAAGACGGAGGACCAGCTAGAGGAGGACGCGCAGGTGATGATGCAGCTCGGTACAGACAAGTACGCCTCCGAGATGCGGGCTCGAATGATGAGCGCATCCCTGTTATCCGACATGGAATCCTTCAAGGTATGCATAATGCATTGAGCCTAAACCCGGCAACGTATTTTACGAGTACATCTATTTTCATTATGATAATATAACGTAGGCGGCAAATCCTGGCGCGGTGCTAGAGGATTTTATTCGATGGTATTCCCCGAGGGATTGGATCGACGAAGAAGGTATTGACGAATGGGGACAAGGAAAGGGTCAGTATTTTTTTCTAATACATACAAAATTATGAAGAATATTCTAAATTTGAAACTGATATCACCGCTCAATCCTCGTTATCTATAATTAATTTACCTCGCTTATTTCAGTCAAGTAATCGAAGAGACTTTGACTTCTAAGAAATATTATAATTCTCTTTCTCTCTCTTTCTATAATGTCTGAGGAAATTATTTCCTTCGAGACAGGTTCTACGCCAAGATCGATAGCGATGTGAAAGGTTGCACATATTACTTTTAAGAATATTTACAAGCTAAAAGTCAAGACAGAAAGTCTTAATACTAAATACCTTTTTAATGACAGATTTTTTTTTGTTCAACATTCAATTCAACAAAGTCGATTTTTGCTCAACAAAAATGCCGAGGGACGTCAGTTTGCAATTGAAATATAAATGTAATTTTTTTATTTCCAACGCTTGCAATATTTTTTTATATTGAATCTCGAAACGCAGGTCACTTGTCGCCGCGGATGATGATCCCGGATAATCCGTGGTCAACGACATGGGCATCGGCGCAGCCAGTTCCCGCACACCGGCAGAAACGACTGTTCGACGACACGCGAGAGGCGGAGAAGGCCCTGCATTACCTGTGTTCGAAACGAATAGGCCAGGTTGCACAGCTCTTGCTGCCGACTCTAATGCACGCCGCGCTCTATACTCTGACCTCACAGAAACAGGAAGCTCTACCGAGCCTGCCCGATGTAGCACAGAGCATACTCAACAAATTGCAATACGCGACGAAGCCAATTCATCAAAAGCTACAAGTGTATGAGGTAGGACTCGACATATCTTCGATCATATAGTCATTTGTTAGGTCGATTTCGATTATAACTAGTCAGTGTTTGTCATAAATGTTTATAAATAACATATAAATGCGGGCATATAAATATATTTGAAATAAAATATATACAGGCTGCGTATATATAAGTAAGAATTTTTACAGATAGATATAGATAACTTAATTTTTAATTTCAATTTCTTCAGGACATCACGCGCGACGTCGAGAGCGTGGAAGCGCTGGTCGCGCAAGTAAATTCGTTGCAGCACAAGCTGGGCGGTAACAACGACTCCAAGGAATTCACGTCCTTTTTGATTCAATTGATGCGGGGAAAGGAGGTGAGTGTGCCCGGCGCTTCCAGAGGTGACATCGGAGCTCGAATAACGACGATGTTCCGCGACGCTCAAAAGGTATATTTTTATACATTATTATATCATATATGAGAGTTTACGATTCAAACATAAAATATTTCGGCTTTGTTTCAGGCCGCTCATATGATGACGTCCGTCAGTAACACCCATAAGGATACAAGTGCGGAAGATAGTCGATACAGAATGTTTCCCGAACCATCGTGCAAAGAATTTATTTTACGGGCGATAATGCCGCGACCTTCGCCAGCTTCCACGCCGCAGCCGCAACGGCTGTACGTCTGCCTTAAACGAGATCACATTCGTTTAGCTGGATTCTTTTCCGAAGATACAACGTTCTTATAATGTCAAACGGACGGTGTCGTCGTC